TAGTCCCATCGTCGGCAGTTGTCCCATCTCAACCTGGGTATAAATTTGATTTTCAATGTAATATAGAAAAAATTGAATGCTGAACTTTTCATTAAGTGTAACATATCGATTGTATTTGCTAGGCTACCACCCCCTCCCCCACCACCTCCTACCATACCCTGGAGGGGTTATTTTGGTGCTGCTGTAATAGGAGGCAGCCTTGGTTACCTGGTTATCAATCTTATAAAGGTAAACCGGCTAATCACAATCTGTCAATCATACAAGCAGCCAATCATAAGCCATTTTATGTCTGTGCTAATCATAAAATCAGCCAATCATGAACAGTGTTATGTTCCTCAGTCATGAAGGCAGCCAATGACTAACAGGGTTATATCTTTATCAATCATAAAATCAGCCAATCATGAACAGTGTTATATTCCTCAGTTATGAAGGCAGCCAATGACTAACAGGGTTACATCTGTATCAATCTTAAAATCAGCCAATCATAAACAGTGTTATATTTCTCAGTCACAAGAGCAGCCAATGACTAACAGGGTTATATCTGTATCAATCATAAAATCAGCCAATCATAAACATTGTTATATTTCTCAGTTACAAGAGCAGCCAATGACTAACAGGGTTATATCTGTAATTTTTGACAGACATATGTCATGCCATTGATATTCAATTTGAAGCAAAAAGAGGAAACGTTGGACAAGTTAGAAATAGCTGTTTCACAGACGAATGCTAGTGTGACACAAGCTGTTGGATCAGTGCAGACATCATTGGAATCAGTACAGGTATACTTRMTGGATGGTMTTTAYTGACCRTCATTCATCTCRGGTTTTCAATGTACATTATTCYTCCCATATTACAGTGYGAATCGRAAAACYRTGGCCGCMTRGAAATATTTCAGGAATGTGTACTTGAAAAGCGACTTTAGCTGAGAAACAAGAAAACATGATGAAAAACATAAATCTACAAAGTTTGTGTTTATTCTCAACAACCGAATTGTACTATTTGTAAGCTTTTACAGGCTGTTGTTTGGTGATAAACTACTGTTTTTTTATTTATTTGTTACGTTGAAGTTTTGATTAAATTCTCATGTGAAATTTTACTTGATGACGGTTAATCTCGCTTCTGATTGGTCAATAAATAAACATTCCCYAAATATTTCTATGCAGTCACAGTTTTTCCATTCGCACTGTAAAATGAGTAATATCCAGATCTTGACATGGCTTTCAACTTCTTTCAACTCTTAGTGATGGTTGGTTAGTATGCAGCCTTTAGAATTTAATTGGTTAGAGTAAAGTCAGTTTCTATTGTTATAACCAGTGGAACTTGTCATTTTTTTTCAGGAAATACTTGGAGAACAAAGAAGAATGATTCAAAGTCTTTCTKCTGACCTTGCACAAACACAAGACAAACTTGCAGGTCTTCCTACTGACAGCTATTCTGTYGGTGACTTGAAATCAGAAATAGTATCACTTAAAGGACTGTTACTCAATAGGTATGCACTTTTTATATGACTCTTGCAATGAAAATAGAGTGGTTTTCATAAACCCGTGAAACAAAGTGTAATAATTAGAGTGTAATAGATCGTAATAGTCGCGTAGAGACAATAAAAAACAAACGAGCCAAAGTGTAATAGTGATAAATATGCTAAAGTGTGTTTCGCGGGTTAATGAAAACTACTCTAACTTTTCCTGTAGTGTTGTTATAATGATTTTTTCTTTCAACTAAAGGAAGCAGTTTCCACCTGCAGTAATTAGTACTCCACAGTCTCTTGGCATTCCTGCCTGGCAAAGATCAACAACACCATCTACTGTACCGCTGACTGCTGAAAAAGATGATRAAAGTATTGACGATTCCAAGGGAATCACRGATCACTCACACATTAATGGTGAGTATTATTGTAMCCATGTCAGATTACTGTGCTGKATACTGATAGCATTWTCATAAGTTGCTTTCATTTTTCCTTTAGTCCATYCAACCATTATTTGTTCATGCTTCCATTCATTTTTTCATTAATGTTCTTTTTTCAACTATCAGGAACTTCTAACGAATCAGAGAACAGTAAAAATCAAGAAACATTAAGTTCAAGCTCCTCCAGCAGTGCATGCACACCAGAAACGATGAAACATCAAGACTCCCACATGGATAAGAGCATGATGAACGATGCTTTGATAGCAGAAGGCGATATCAGCAACGATACCACAGTCTCCTCTCTGTCTGATTTGTCCGCGAATGCCTCGTTCCATGAAGCGTCGATTGCATTCTCTTCAACGTGTATTAAGATTCCTTCTGACGGTACTTCCGCTGTAGATGATTCCACGGCTGAAGAAACACAGGAAGTAGATTGAACATCAATTTTCTTCATGTATTAGTTGCATTTGAAAAAGGACTGGAATGAGCATTGACTCGAGGCTTAGTAAATCGGCATTGCGCATCGTTTCGGTGGACCGCAGTGCACAATAATAGTTATGCCCTCGACATGGTGTGCGATGATATTAAGAAATACTTTTGTAAATTCTACCAAAAAATTGAAAATAAATCTTTCATTAATCTATTAGTGTTTGTTTTTATTGTATAATTTACTGTGTAAAAATGTGTAGGAATCCACAATTTAGCATGAATTAATCGCTTTCTTCAACTCCCTATTCTCCCTTTTACGTTTAAAATGACTGAACGAAAAAAATAATAGGTATCCCTGAAAAAATAATCTGTGRATGTTTTACAATGTTTAAACAATTACTAAACTAAACCAAATCTGTTTATCATAAAAAAACTTTGAAAGATTTTTGTRTTATTTCATATATTGTTTTTTCATCGCATAAATCTACCCTACAMCCCCACATATCCGTCAACAGCTGTTCGGTATGACGTCACATGCCACTGTCATGCAAATGACGTGAAAACAATACSGCATATATGATCACACTGTAGTCACTGATTCGATTTTCTTATTTGGATGGTTGACTCTGAGTTTTCGCGTGAATTTAACGCTGATAAACAAGACGAGCAGAAAGAATACTTGTTACCAATGAACCTGTGAASAACGGCGGCTGAATTGTCTCAATTAGAACGATTATTACTGTGTTGGGCCGTAAGAAGCCTTCTAAACATCGCAGCCTAGTCAATTAGGCATATTCAACAACACAGTTCTGCCTGACTTCCCGGGGAGGACGTTTTATTTCAACCATGGCTTTGGCAAGATTATGGAATCTTTTGACTCGTATGAAGACGATTGACAATGATACATCTGATTCTCCCCTTAAAAGATGCTTGAACGTTTTTGATTTAACATCTCTTGGTGTCGGAGCGACCGTTGGCGCTGGTCTGTAYGTAGTGACGGGTCAAATAGCTCGCGACGTTGCTGGGCCGGCAGTTGTGTTGTCTTTCTTCATCGCGTCCGTTGCTGCTTTTCTMTCAGGAATCTGCTATGCCGAGTTTGGCTGCCGAATCACCAAAGCTGGGTCAGCGTATATGTACACATATACATCTCTGGGTGAGATATGGGCCTTTATCATCGGGTGGAACATGATCYTAGAGTATGTTATCGGCACTGCTTCCCTAGGTCGTGCAGCCAGCGAGTATATTGATTCAATATGTGGCGGTGCGATGCATAAATCATTGTCTGAACACCTTAGCATGCATGTAGAAGGACTTGGATCTTACCCTGATTTCCTGGCTTTCTTCCTGGTTCTTTTGATGTCGTTGGTCATTGGTTTTGGGGCAAAACACTCAGCTTATTTCAACAAGGTCGTAACAGGAACCAATCTTCTTGTCATTGTCTTCGTTATCATTGTGGGTATGTTCCATCTGAACCCAAAGAACTGGAGTGGCAATGGACARTTCTTACCGTTTGGTGTATCTGGAGTTCTTGCTGGAGCCGCTAGCTGCTTCTACTGCTTTGTTGGCTTCGATGTCATCGCGACAGCCTCGGAGGAAACCCTAAACCCAAAGCGCTCTATYCCTCTTKCCATCATGTTRAGCCTGATCATCAGTTTCCTAGCGTACTTTGGCGTTTCGACGGTTCTTACTCTCATGATYTCTTACAAGGATTTGGATAAAGTTGCKCCTCTTCCWGAAGCCTTCAAGAAAGTTGGTCTACCAGGAGCGAAGTATGTGATAGCTGTAGGAGGACTGTGTGCRCTGCTTGGATCTCTGATGAGYGGYATCTTCGCCGTGCCAAGAATCCTCTATTCSATGTCTACTGATGGACTAATATTCAGTTGTTTTGCCAAAATCTACGARCGYACCAATATTCCGATTAACTCTTTACTCGCTGCTGGTTTACTGTCAGCATTACTTGCYTTAATGCTGGACTTAAAACAACTTGTCGAGATGTTATCCATTGGTACCCTGCTCGCCTATACTCTCGTYTCTACCTCCGTGCTTGTTCTTCGTTTTCAACCAGGAGTCGAGAGCGTTGAGATTAAAGAGGATGGTGGGTATCGTGTTCTTTGCTGTCGACCTCATTTGGACGAACCACCAGCTATAGAATATAAACCAATAGAGGTTGCAGAGAAAGAAAGAACGAAGGTAAGAAAAAAAATAATTGAATTAAAATGGGAAAATGTCAATATCAACTAGCATAAATAGCTAATTTTGTGCGTTTCTATTTAACTCCATTAGTTTTTTCTTTGAAACTTCGGGGGTTTTCTTTTAACTACGATAAAATCGTCTTTAGAGTTTATTATGCAGCAAAACGGTTTTAAAATCACTCTTTTCTTGGGGTTMAAGATAGATATTATAACACATCAGGGGGCCATGAATAAATGCAAGACGAAAACGAAACCTTGAACACACTTTTAATTCATTCTAAGTTTCGTTTCTCYWAGAAAACGAGCTGAAAAGTACACTGTTATTGTAATTGYCTCTAAGACTGCGTCCAATGGTTTAGCAAAAGAAAAGGCTTAACTATTACTTATATACACATATAAAGTGAATTCAATTTTTGTCAATTCTTAAGATATTTGTAAAGCTAAATTACTTTTTTTAAAGCAAATTTACTCAAATAAAATGAGTAAAGGAGCTGAAAAACACACGATTTTTTCTTTTTATTTTGTCTTCCTACAAATTAAAGTAATGACAAATGTGTCCGTGCTTTAGGGGTTGTTGGTCGAAACGAATGAATTGCTATATGTGCGCAGGTGATAGTCAACCAATGCGACAAAACTACGTATATATTATCAGGTTTTGGCGCTAAAGCAATTTAGAAGGAATTGGATAGTTCAAATTCATCAGTACTATTAAAAGAGATTTTAGTTAGTAGAATTTACATCAAAAACGAAATGGAATAAATTGATTAAACTCATTTTTTTCACTTCAAAACGATTTATGAAAAAAGCGAGTTAAAGATAGAAAAAACTAAAACTAAAATCTAGGTAAAGACAAAATATTCTACGATAAAGTCAATACATTCGCAGAATGACCGTTRAAACAAGAATCATCCGACACTTATTCGGGAGAAAAGTTAGGCTTCCCAACACTTGATCAATAGTGAAGCCCATAATTTATTCTTGGAGATAAATGAAACGGATGACAGCGATGAAGGTTGAAACCCAACTACTTCGGAATGGATGATCAAAGGTTCTATAGAATGTTTCGAATTAGCGAATTGATATCTCAGTAAAGAGCCTTAGTAAAGATTTAAAGTTGATCAGTGGTTTTGAAAAAAACATGTGAAATCAGAACAGCTAGGAACACTTGATCGAGRAAGACACCGAGTTCGAATATCGGATATCTATATCACTTTGGTATCATGATCAAAGATTCTCTCGGTCCATTTGTTATGGTTAGCCTTGAAACCAGCTAAATGTATATTGATTGCGAGGAAAAGAAAAACAGCGACTGACAGGCATATTAATTAATTTCCTGAAATTTTCTTTTCGTAATTAGAATCCTTTTAATACCAATAATTAATGGTGCTTTTCTTGGTTAGATTTTTCTTTGATTTCTTGAGAAAGCCACGTTTACCACAAACAGATATCAAATCGGAAAAAAATAACCTTACTGCCATTTTCTTTAATATTTTATGTCATTAGGAAAAAGGTTTCTACAATTATAGTGTATGTAATGAAACCATACTGTTTGATTGAAAACAGGATGGAAACCATTAAAAGATATTGCACAATCGAAAAAAAAAATGGAAAGTAAATGGAAGAAATGGAATGTCATAAAGCCAACTAAATAAAATGCCTTTTCTTTTTGTTTTATTTTCTTCTCGCAAAAGCAATAAGTTTAAGTCAACCATCAATTGATACAATCATGCGATACRTTTTAACCTTAATAGTTGGTTTTCGTGTAAATTGGTTCATATTTTGCCTATTGCTCATAAAAACCAGTAAAGATTTGGAGAAATATATGACCAATAAAGATCACAGTTCTAATGAMAGGCAAACAAGTTGAGAGCACTAATTTATGTTAATTTATTTCAACGTGGGAGGACGTGAGAATGAGTGGGCAGTAAAAACTGTCTTTTTTCCGCTTGAAAACTGTATTACAACCTGCGTAATTGTGTTTCATTTTAGGTGATATTATTTCAAACACGTTGCAGAATAGATAATCAACAGATAAATAAAGTGTATCACCTAAATTTCATGGATTTATAAACTTAATTGCTTAAAATATTTGTACAAAAACGATATGAGTAATCTATTTGCGGGGAGGATCAACAGCTGGTGGAAGGACAGGCAAACCCTCAACCTTTCGATACTTTGCGCTTTTTGTATCGAGTTTCACAACGCACTTCCCCTTAAAACACCCTGGAGAAARTCCTGGATCAAACAGTGTGCCTGTGATACTTGTAATAAAGAGCTGTTCTTCATTAATAGGTCGAGAAAGATGTCCCTGATAAACGAACCAGTCAAATCGCAACCACAGCCATTGTATTGATGATCGTCGCCCTCGTCGGGATTGTGTCGGTTCTCGTCTTCGGCTGGGCTTCGTTAGCCAATCGTGAAGGCTGGTCTATCTTCGGTCTCGTATTCACGATCCTTCTTTTCGTGTTTGGCCTCGTTATCATGTGGATTCAGCCTCGTAATCATGCWGTGTTTCCGTTCACCGTTCCCGGCATTCCTTTCCTACCGCTGTCCAGTATTATGGTGAACTTGTTCTTGTTGCTGAAGCTGTCTCACTGGACGTGGATACGATTTGGAGTRTGGATGATAATAGGTACTCAACATCAATCCATTGGGATACCTGTGCTCAGAAGCACAGGGAACCCGACATGAGAACTGTTAGGAAATTAAACCAATAAGTTGCTTTGCATAATAGCCGACTTGCGAATTACGCATCAATAGTCACATACAAAGGAATCAAGACGAGGCGCCGTGCTAAAGACAATAGATTTTTCACAAAAAAGCACGGCGCCTCGTCTTGATTCCTTTGTATGTGACTATTGATGCGTAATTCGCAAGTCGGCTATTGCGCACTTATACAATTCTTGATTTGTTCAGGTTTGACCATCTACTTCTTCTATGGTATACGAAACAGTGTTGAGGGTCTGACCGACGATGAAGACGCTGGGAGTACCCACGGGGAGTATATTGTCAACCCCGACCCCCCTGTCCCTAATCAAAAAGTACGACCTGTCCAACCAAAGCAATCCAAACTTAAGAAAGACGATGAACAACTATTAGAAGATGATTTCCAGGTCACCCCGGCCGATGAGGTCGCTAAAGAAGCTGGTACTGAGTAGATATTTTATTTTAACTGTTAAAAGACCCTTCCACTATTTTCGTACTTATACCTTCCTCGTTCCCCAACGAATTCTTGAAAGAGGACAGTTTGGGTACGAAGCTGGTACTGAGTAGATATTTTATTTTAACTGTTAAAAGACCCTTCACTATTTTCGTACTTATACCTTCCTCGTTCCCCAACGAATTCTTGAAAGAGGACAGTTTGGGTACGAA